TATATGTGCTATTGTGAGCAGATATCTTCATTGAATTCACCACAATCTAACCTCCTCTCTTGCTTCAGAAGATTCCACAGCTTCAGTGCCCATCAGCATATTAGGAGTTTAGACCATTGCTGCTAATACACATTATCTTACATTTATGCAAGTTAAATGTCCTCTGCCATCAAATTGTCCATTTCATTTATATGTTTAAATCCATCCAGAGTTTCTCATAATCCTCCATTTTACTAAACAAATCAACTTAGTGTCATTATCATACTTTACCAACTCCTTTTACCTTTTGTTCAAAATCTATTTAATATTTTTTATCAAATACTGGCAATCACCTTGGTACGCCAACATTTGACCTGTAGGACAGCCTTCACTGTAACTTTTTAAATTGCTTTACTGGTTCAATCTTATCCATTTATTAGTCATTTTCCTTAATTGTCTCGTATGAGAGACCTTTTCAAAAAAGCATTCGGAAAAATCTAAGTGAATTACATTCATGCTGCTTTATCTATCATTTTGTTAACATTTCCAAAGAAGTCTCATAGATAGAAAGCTCATTTTTATCATTTTCCTTACGATGCTGGGGTTGACCTGTCCAGGCAATACTTGTCCAAGTGTTGTACTACTTTAACCTTACTGGAACTCATAATAACCAGTTTCCCCAGTAGCACAATGAGCCCCACCATTTTGTAATTCCTGGGTTCTAGATAGTCAAAAAGGCACCAGATTAGTGACTTCCCTGGTTTTTTTCTGAACTATTGCTATTTTTAAAGTGTTATGGCTTCATTTCTCCAAGAACTCTGCTCCTTCACACTTCATTTCCTTCATAACCCTTTGATAACATCATCCGGTTCTGGCAATTTACTGAACTTCAGGAACTCATATTGCAGTATGAATTTCTCCCTGGATTTCAATCTCTAATAAGACCACAATAATTTCCTGTGATATGTGGCCTTAAATCCTACCATCATCTACAGTAAAGTCAAAATCAAAACATTCCTCTTACTGATCTCTTTTAGTAGTGTACTTTTTATTCTTCTCCATTTAAGTCGTGTCCATTGCATCAATAAATATTTCTCCAAACAGTCCTTTGATGTCCCCTTCCACAGTAGCTAACCTACCCATTGTTATCATCACTGTGTCAGCAGAACATAAGCCTTTAATCTCTTGGGGCCTAACCCCACCAGGTGCTGAGCACCTACTATCTGCATTAAGGTTAATGACTTGCTTAGCACCTCTCTGGGTCTGGATTTTACTATGAGGAATTACTCGTTACAATTCTGATCTGGACCTCTGCATAATATCGATCCAGTTGGGTGAAATCCTGGTCCCACTGAAGTCCTTGGCAAAACTCCCATTGACTTCAGTGGGGCAAGGATTTCACCCCTTGTTTCTATCATGTGAGCTTTCTAATCAAATAGATTCCATCCCTTAGTCGTGTCCACACTCTAAAATAGCAGTGGTTTACTTTACTCCTTCAGATATAATACAACTCTATACAACCTAACCTACCCATCAGACAAACTATAGTTTGAAGTCTGAAGCCCTTTCGCTATTTTTTTAAATTGTCAATCATACCTCGAGTTGTCATTTATTCTGGGCATTCTAGCTGGCTCCTTTTTTAGTTTTGACTAAGTCTTGAGCGTTAGCCTGGAGACGCTTTCATTTTTGTCTCTTAGAGGTATAACCATTATATTATTAGCATTATTTAACTGAAACTCTGCTTCTGCTTGAACTGATGGCTACACCTCCTTGTCTCTATTGTTTGTGTCATGGGAAACTCAGTCCATATTCCTTTTTACTGGCCCCTGTGGTTGTAGTACCCACGACTACCAAAATTTAATCTGAGTGCCTTTTAAGATTTTTACATGTAAAAAAAATTCCACAGAATAAATCAACGTGGAACTAATGAGATGTGTGTCTATCATCGTCCCCATCATCAGTGTGTGTATCACCACCCTGGTCACTTAGCTGGCATGTTACATCACTTTCCCCCCACCTTTCATCTCATGGCCCCAATTCTGATTTCTGCTGCAGCCCCTTTACTCCACTCTGGGTAGGGATTGTAAAGGGACTGCAAAGACTCCTGGGTAATTCCCTCAGCACAAAATAGATTAAAGGTATTTAAAAGTAATATCTTAATTCAGTGATTCTCAAAGCCGGTCCGCCGCCTGTTCAGGGAAAGCCCCTGGCGGGCTGGGCTGGTTTGTTTACCTGCCGCATCCACAGGTTCGGCCGATCGCAGCTCCCACTGGCCGCAGTTCGCCGCTCCGGGCTAATGGGGGCTGTGGGAAGCGGTGTGGGCTGAGGAATGTGCTGGCTGCCCTTCCCGCAGCCCCCGTTGGCCCGGGGCAGCGAACCGCAGCCAGTGGAAGCCGCGATCGGCCTAACCTGCGGACATGGCAGGTAAACAAACCCGCTTGGCCCCCCCCAGCAGCTTTCCCTGAACAAGCGGCAGACCAGCTTTGAGAACCACTGTCTTAATTGATTATTATTTTGCATAACTTGTTCATCCTCTTATCTAATCCTGCCACCCACATGTTAAACTACTTTGTTTTCCCTTGTATTTGGCACAGAAAGGAGCCTAGATACAGAATTTGCAGTTCCCAAAGCTGAAGGGAGGCTTGGCACTACCCAATCTATCTGCCACATCATTGGGATTTATAATCAATTGGTTTCAGGCAAGGACAAACATTATTTGGCTTCAAGTAGAGCACGTTGACAGCGAGTGGGATTGCTTTGAAGGCTTTTTCCAACAGAAGAATTTTTTTTTTTAAAAGGTGATGGATGGAAGTTGAAAAAATTGAGTTCTGCAAAACTTAACAAATCTACGTGATAAGGAGGGAGGCTGAGCTGAGCTCAGCTCCTCATTAGAATTTAAAGCAAGTTTGATAGGCAGGGGACAGTGTTCTGTTGCTCATTTAATTGACTGTAAACTCTCGAACAGTAGATGGAGAAGCAAGTGCTGGCTTTGAACTGGAGCTCTCTATTCACTTTGGGTAAAATGCAAATGCCACACAACTAAATAAATATTCCTCAACTTGGCTTTAATTTGATTATTTGGGGAATTTGAGGTAAAATCTAACTTGAAAGAAATGTGGGACAGCTAAATTCATATGGACAAATCCTAGGTGAGCACGGAGCCGGGACACCCCGATGTCCTCACCGCCACCTGCCAGGCACTCTCAGCCCTGCACTCCCCAAAGCAGGTGAGGGGGAGCTCCGTGGGCCTGGGAGGCAGAGCGCAGGGCTGGGGACACAGGGTGTAGCCAGGTGATTCCTGGGGATGTCCTGGGGCTCCTGGGGCTAAACGAGCTTGGCTGCACTGGCCCTTTAAAGCTGCAGCTTCTGCCCTTCCTAAGTAAATTCACAAAATCAATGGGAATTGGTCTCAATCCTTTCCTGAAAAGGGCCAAATAAAGGACTACAAGATTTGGCCCATAGTCCAACTATTGGAGTGTGTTGGAGACTTTGCTGCGACAGAGGCATGTGAGCCCCATATGTTATTAGGTCCTGATTTTTAGGGGGGGCTGTGCACGCACAATTCCATTTGAAACCAATATGAGCTGCATAGTGCTCAGCCCTTCTGAAAATTGGGTACTTGGAGAATAATTGAGGAAGGGTTTGAACAAAAATCCACAGTGTTAGGGATAGTACTTTCAGCCCAGGTTCCATTTTGACCCTTTTAACCTCCTTTTAGGGAATACTCATTTCATATTTAATATTAGAAATATTTCTTGTGCGTCATGGTGATAACTGCGAAAATCCAAAATCCTAACCTGGTTGATTTAAGATCCTCCTTTATATCCCTGTTGTTCAAAGGTATTTGGGGAACTCCTGAGTGACAAGAATAGCAGCAGTCTTTATAATGCAATTAGAGTTGTTTATAGGGAAAGAGACTTATCTGACTATACTTTATTGCATCTAGCCCATATACTCATGTGAATTAGAGAAGTCAATGGAGTTAGACTGGTGTCATAATCTTGCAAGTCAACCCCGAATCCAAAAGATGTCCTGTAAGTGTAAAACTGGGAAAGTTTGGTCTTTGGAGTTGCTATATTTCTCTGTTCATCCAAAATCCTGGTAATTCTTTTGATTGATTTTGAAAGTTATAGGAGAAGTGAGTGAAAGTCTTTGCACAGGTTTTGCTAACTATCATTTGTAGTGTGTATAAAATTATTGTGCATGTGTGATAAGAGATTATATATATAATATTAAATATATGTTAAATGTTAAATATATATATAAATGTAACATTTAAGGGAGACTTTACATTTTTTAGACTATAATGTATAAATATAAAACATGTCTAATTTGAATATTCTATACAATACTCTTATTTTTCCTTGCATGAATCCCATCAAGTGGGGTCCACTCTACAAGTCCTCTCCTTCCAACATGCTCTTTTCAGTGCTGTATCCTCTATCACAGCACATGCTAACATGTTTTCCTTTGACATACCACCACTTCTTCTTGGGTTGGCTTCTCTGTCTTTCTCCTTCAGTCCTGAGTGGTTGTACTCTTTCCCACTAGTTGTCAGGACTGTGCTTGACACGACCAAACCACTTGAGCCTGCACTCTCTCATTTTTTCGTTTACGCACATTACTTTGAGCATCTTCTGTCTAATACTAACTCTAAATGTGTATGGGTCTCCTTGTTTTTTTCCCCTCCTTCCTTCCCATTCTCCCTTCACACTCCCATTTGTTTATTCACCTCTTGCCTATTATTTATATGCTACACTGTGAGCTTTCTGAGGCATGGACTGTCTTTGTATTATTTGCTTGCATAGCGTCCAATACAGTGGGATCCTGAGCCTTGTAAGAGGCTTTGAGCAGGGGATTGGACTAGATGACCTCCTGAGGTCTCTTCCAACCCTAATATTCTATGATTCTATTAAGCATTACAGCAATAGAAATAAATAATAACTATGTGCCTTTATATAAACAAACACTGTCTACTGTTAAGTATTCATGGTAACTGGTATTAAACACTCTTATTACAGAGCTGGTCATTTGTCTGAAAATCATTTGGGAACACTTCTAGACCAAGCTCAGGCAGAAGTTCATTCTGTTAAACAGAAGTTGGATCATAATTTAAAACAGGAAAAGCAAAGGCTTCACCAGAAACTCGTTACTAAGAGAAGACGAGAAATGTTGCAAAAGGTAATTATGTACAGTGTAACCATTTACCCTGCGATTATGCTGAAAAATACCCGATTGAATTGAAAGATAAAGCCTAATTCTTTCATGATGATGAAGATAATAAACATCCATGCTAGGATAGTAGAGGAAAATCAGTCTTCATAATTTTTAGTGGCGTTACCACAATGCACAGTAGAACCTCAGAGTTATGAATACCAGAGTTACGAACTGACTGGTTAACTACACACCTTATTTGGAACTGGAAATACACAATCAGGCAGCAGCAGAGACCAAAAAAAGAGCAAATACTGTACAGTACTGCGTTAAACGTAAACTACTGAAAAAAATAAAGGGAAAGTTTAAAAAAAAAGATTTGGCAAGGCAAGAAAACTGTTTTCTGTGCTTGTTTCATTTAAATTAAGATGGTTAAAAGCAATATTTTTCTTCTGCATAGTAAAGTTTCAAAGCTGTAATAAGTCAATGTTCAGTTGTAAAGTTTTGAAAGAATAACCATAGCGTTTTGTTCAGAGTTACGAACATTTCAGAATTACAAACAACGTCCATTCCCAAGGTATTCGTAGTCTGAGGTTCTACTGTATTGTCTTAACTGAGCAGTTATTCATAGCCTGACAGCATAAGACCAGATCATTCCCTATCATTGAGAAAACCTGCAGGTGATATATATGAAGAAAATTCTGAATTTCCATTTGTGGTTTGACATCTCACCAGGTCAGGAATATAGGGTTAGATTCAACACAGTGGGGGCAGGCAGCATGACCCTCCAAACCCACCAAGGTTCCAAACTCTATGAAGGAAAATGCCTTGGAGCTCTGGCAATCACGCAGAGGGCCAACACTTCCATTGTACTCTCTGGGCTTCCCACTGGTGCCCATATCCATCTTGACCTGGGTTAATTGACTTTACACCAAAATGCATAATTGGCCAATTTAGGCTCCTGTATGTGAATTGTAAAGAAATAATCAAAAGATGCAGGAAATCCATTGGGTTAGTTGGGACAGACGTTTCAAAATGTTCTGGTGGTCTTAAAAGATAAATTGTGTTAAAACAAGGAGAGAGCAAGTATGAAGAGAAATCTAGGGCTTCTTTTAGTGGCATTCAGTATCTTTTTTTTCTCCCCACAAGGGTAGCTTTGGCTAGCTTTATAGTGAAAATATTGCATAGTGTAATATGAAATATCAGTACACCATTTTTCTCTTCTTTCCTCTGTGTTTCTTTTATCAGAGTTTGCATTTGGAATTTTACCGGTTCATTAGATTTCTGACCCTTTCCGATATTTGAAAATATGTCAGGGCATGAGATAAAGTGCACACTGCATTTTTGTAGGTGTTAGCATTCTATCTAACTTCAACCCAAATTAATAGTGGCCTTTTGGGCACATATGAATGCAGTGCTGATATTATGCAATGAAGTTATCGTTTTGAGTATTACCAAAAAAATCATGTATAATTTCACCTTGGTATGAAATATGTATATAGGGGATTAGAACTAGAAAGAAGTTTTTTCTATTTACCTTGTATCTTTTTTTTTTTTGTAAATGAATAAGCAGAAAGAACAAAGAAAGGAGCAGATGTCGATAGGAGACACTTTCAAAACCACTAAAGAGGTTAGCCACTACTTGAGCCACTGGCAGAAGCTTCTGACTGATCATGCTGTTGAATTTGAAGAGCTTATTGAAAAGCTTGATAATGATGCCAGCGAAGAAATAAAAGTGCTTAGATTTACTTTGACAGAGAAAGCTATTGATGAACTTAAACGCATTCAGTATGGAGTAATCACTCAAGAACTGTTAAAACTGAGTGTGCCAAAGCCATTCCTGCAACAAATTGTTGAGGAGCATAAAAAGGAAATTGCTATTCAGACTGAACAGCTTGAAAAAGAAGAACATGACAAAAATATGGCCACTCGAGAATGGCTTGAGAATACCAGGCAAAAACTGAGCCAAGAGCTGGAACACAGAATTGCAGAACAAAAAAAATTAAGGAGTTGGGAACAGTTAGTGTTCAAGTAAGTATCTGTCCATTTTCTTTTCTTGGTTATTCCTCTAATAAGTATGAGTTTAACACACATGTGGGCTTAATTTTTAACTATCAATTCTTTGCTATAAACTTTGGACCTGAGTTTCACCGGTTCATAGTACCCACCACTCCTACTGCAGTCAATATGTGCTGTCGTTGCTCTGTGCTTGTGAAAATTAGCAGCTTTGGTTTGTTTGGGGATTTTTAATGAAAATTCCAAGGAGATGAATTTGTTAAAATTATAAGGGTGATTTAGAATTTTTAGGCTTTAATTCAGTATATATGCCATACTTTGTTTGCAAAACTCTCAGTATTCAGAGATTCCCAGATCCCAAGGCTAGAAATGATAATTATGAATGTCTGCTCTGACCTCCTGTATAACACAGGCCATAGAACTTCCTCCAAAATAATTCATAGAGCATATCATTTAGAAGAACATCCAAACTTGATTTTAAAATTGTCATGATGGAGAATCCACCATGACCCTCGGTAAATTGTTCCAGTGGTTAATGGCTCACCGTTAAACATTTATGCTTTATTTTCAGTCTAATTTGGCTAGCTTCAGTTTCCAGCTGCTGGATTGTGTTATACCTTTCTTTACTAGACTAAAGAGCCTATTATTAAATATTTGTTTCCCAGGTAGATACTTATAGACTGTGATTAGATCACCCCTTAACCTTCTCTTTGTTAAGCTAAATATTGTGATAGACTCAAAAGGCTCAATCTAAGGCATGTTTTCTAATCCTTTAATAATTCTTGTGGCTCTTCTCTGAACCCTCTCCAAATTATGAACATCCTTCTGGAGTTGTGGGCACCAGAACGGGACATAGTATTCCAGCAGTGGCCACACCAGTGCCAAATATGAAAGTAAAATAACCGCTTTATTCCTACTTGAGATTACTCTGTTTATGCATCCCAGGATCACATTAACATCACACTGGGAGCTCATGTTCAGCTGATTATGCACCACGACTCCCAAATCTTTTTCAGAGTCACTGCTGCCCAGAAAAGAGTCCCCCATACTGTAAGTGTGGACTACATTCTTTGTTCCTAGATGTATACATTTATATTTAGCCATATTAAAACACATATTGTTCACCTGTGCCCAATTTACCAAATGGTCCAGATTGATCTGAATCAGTGACTTGTGCTCTTCATTATTGACTACTCCAATTTTTGTGTCATCTTCAGACTTTATAAGTGATGATTTTATGTTTTCTTCCAAGTCACAGATAAAAATGTGGAATAGCGCAGGGGCAAGAACTCATCCTTGCAGGACCCCACTGGAAACACACCCGCTTGATAATGATTTCCCGTTTACAGTTATATTTTGAGACCTTATCAGTTAGCCAGTTTGCAATCCATTTAATGTGTGCTAGCATGTTAATTTGATATCGTTCTAATTTTTTTAATCAAAAAGTTGTGCAATAACAAGTCAAACCCCTTACAGAAATCTTAAGTATGTTACGTCAACACTATTACCTGTATTAACCGAACTTATAAAGTAATCAAAAAAAGCTATCAGGTTAGTTTGACCGGATCTGTTTTTCATAAACCCATGTTGTGTTGCATTAATTGCATGACTCTCCTGTAGTTCTTTATTAATTGAGTCCCATATCAGCCACTGCATTATCTTGCTCAAGATCTCTAATGACCTGTAATTACCTGGGTCATCCCATTTGCCCTTTTTAAAAATTGGCACAACATTATCTTTCTTCCAGTCTTCTGAAACATCCACTGTCCTCCAAGACTTACTAAAAATCAACTTTTAAGGTCCAGCAAGCTCCTACCCCAGCTCTTTTAATACTCTTGGACGCAAATTATGTGGACTTGCTGATTTAAAAATGTCTAACTTTAGTAGCTTTTGTTTAACATCCTCCAGAGATGCTAGTGGGATGGAAAGAGTGTTATCACCATATGATGAGACTATATCATCTGTTTTTCCCCAAATACAACACAGAAATATTTATTGGCAAGTAAGAGAAATATTCCCAGTATTTTATGAGTCTCAGCACCGCACACAGAACACTAGTACCTCAGGCCTCTTATCCCTAAAAATGATTGCTGTATATTTCTTAAGACCATAGTTTAGGTTAGCATTTTCCTGGTTTTCAGATGCATTCTTGAAGAGCATTTGTTGTGCATTTATTAATACCATATTTCCTAGCAGCAGAAATGTAATGTTTGATGTGAGACATTGTACCTTTTAAAAGTCGTAGTTTGAGGGCATACGACTGGGATTGTGCTTGTGATATTAGGCTTTCTGCAGAGGTACCAGAGAAGAGAGATACAGACTAGAGAATCATTAGGGTGGGTCTCTTCGTGGTAGCCAGAGAAGGGTCATGTAGTGGGCAAAGATGTGTCCTCCCTCTTCCCAGGCAGGGAAAGTGAGAAAGGTCTTTGTTACCCAAGTGTTTTTGCTGAGTCTTTTTGAATCTTCTGTTTATTAATAAACCCACCTTGAAAAAGGGGACATGGAACTGAACTTGAGGGTTTGGGCTTTATTTGGACTACCCTGGCTAATAAATCTGCCCACTGGCTTATGGACACGTATTCATTAAAAAGAATGGCCTGTAAAGCATTAATGTCAACTTAAACAACTTCAGGTGAGGGGGGGAAGAATTTTCCTTTTCTCTAAAGAAAATCAGATACACATGAGACCTACTGGGCCAAATTTGATGACCTGACATTGTCCCAGTAAGTTTTCTTACTGCACATTATAGAGCTATGGAAAACAGATCTACAGGAGTCTGCCTGTTACTTGTAATGTTTGAAAATCCACTCATTTCTAACTTTTCAGTGACTTTTGGTTTTTCAAAATTCGAAATAATTTTCCATAAACTATTTCAATGTATCTTTCAGATACAGTCTTATTATCTCTAAATATACTGTAGAGAACAATCCTGCACCAGTACTCATATGGATTAGGTGACCTAGGTCTTTTCCATTTCTAACTTCTGTGATTCTATGAGGATGTATTCCAGTTGGCAGTGCTGTCTGTTACACTTGTCAAATACCATCGTTATTCACACAGCAACAATAAAAATCAGTTTCTTTAAAGCTGCTTACTTTTCCAGTACATTTTTCTATACAATTATACAACATTCCATCAAAAGCTCTTTAAAAAATGTATGTCTTTACACTTTCTGACAGTGTGTGTGTTAATTTTGATATTTTGATCACCAGACGCCAGCTCTAGTCTCTTACCAAGAATTATTTTGAACGATAGCTTTTTATTTTTGTGGTTCATTCAAGATACTGTGAAGTAGTTCTGTGCCAAATATATTCACACTTTAAAATCCTTTCCTAACATAGGCATAGCATAAGAGATCTATGCCGTAGTTTCTAATCCACTGTTTTTTTCTGGCAATACTATCTTTCTATTTATAAATCTAAGGCAATATTGTGGAGCAGTAAGTACTGCCTGTTGGAGAAATGATGCCTTCAGATAGGTGTCTTAGGTGGATGAAAATATCATAAATATGAATATGTTAATTTCGAGACTGACTACAATCAGTTGATTCAGAGAGGAATTTCTAAAAGCATCATAGGCATATTTTATGGAAATAATGACAACCTGTTGGCACTGTGATTAACTAAAGTAAAATCATCCTTCTAAAACACTTGAGACAATATATTGTCATTTTAAAATTGAAACTCTTTGTTAGTGCATCAGTGTGCTGTTTAAAAACTGCTTGAATTAGTTATTGTTTAATCTTTAAACAAATAGCTACTTCCTCCTTTTTAGAACTGCTGGGGTAGGGGGAAATTTATTGCTGCAAATTGTAAATATATTTCTAATTTTTTATTAATTTTTTCATATATAACAAATATACCAAAATACAAGATTCAGCATAATACACAAAGTATTTTGTGTAAAGAGGGTCAGGATGAAGGGAGGGCAGGTGAAGCAACCTATCTATCTTCAGGGTCTGCGTTAATCATAAACCTGTAAAAAGTCAGCACAAATTGCTTTGAATTTTTCAGGCATTCCCCTTCTATGGAATGCCAGTAATTCACTAGCTGAGAGGTCAGCCATATCATTGAGCCAGGCATCGATGTTTGGTGGAGATCGACTTTTCCACTTTCGCAGGATTAATTTTTTAGCAACCAAAGCTGCATGTTGGAAACATGGTGCCTTGTTATCAGGTAACCTTCAGGTATCGGAAATATATCCAAGAATTAAATTTAAGAGGGAGAGCTCCAACTTAGCATACAATATTAAACTGGTCCTTTCACCCACAGTTGCTGCAAAATTAAAGTTAAATGTGTTTTTTTCTGAACTGTTCCTGACCCAAAGCCATGAGAGGTCTTAAAACCGGCCTAGTGGTAGTGCAGCACATTGCCACTGCAGAAATCAGAATTTCGGACTTGAGGTCCCTTCTGGGCTGGTTGGAGCTTGGAGTGATCTGGTGGCAATCCACATTACTTGCCTCAGTTTGCTTTCTATCAACCAACCCCTTTTCTCTCATCCAAGACTCAGCAGTTATGTTGATTAACTCTAGAGGGGAGATGTACCTAATATACCCTAACCAATCCAAGGTGGTATTGCTGGTAAGATAGAATGATGAAAAGGGTAAAAGTAGTTGGGAGTCTCAGGACTCCCTGCATCCGAAGAAGTGGGCTGTAGTCCATGAAAGCTTATGCTCTAATAAATTTGTTAGTCTCTAAGGTGCCACAAGTACTCCTGTTCTTCTTTTTTCAGGACTTTGTCCTCACCCACAACTATTTCATATTTGGGGACAATATATACCTTCAAGTCAGCGGCATTGCTATGGGTACCCGCATGGCCCCACAGTATGCCAACATTTTTATGGCTGACTTAGAACAACGCTTCCTTAGCTCTCGTCCCCTAACGCCCCTACTCTACTTGCGCTACATTGATGACATCTTCATCATCTGGACCCATGGAAAAGAAGCCCTTGAGGAATTCCACCATGATTTCAATAATTTCCATCCCACCATCAACCTCAGCCTAGATCAATCCACACAAGCGGTCCATTTCATGGACATACTGTGCTAATAAGCGATGGTCACATAAATACCACCCTATACCTACTGACCTCTATACTTACCTACATGCCTCTAGCTTCAATCCAGGACACACCACACGATCCATTGTCTACAGCCAAGCTCTAAGATACAACTGCATTTGCTCCAATCCCTCAGACAGAGACAAGCACCTACAAGATCTCTATCAAGCATTCTTAAAACTACAATACCCACCTGCTGAAGTGAAAAAAACAGATTGACAGAGCCAGACGAGTACCCAGAATTCAGCTCCTACAAGACAGGCCCAACAAAGAAAATAACAGAACACCACTAGCTGTCACCTTCAGCCCCCCAACTAAAACCTCGCCAGCGCATCATCAAAGATCTACAACCTATCCTGAAAGATGATCCCTCACTCTCACAGATCTTGGGAGACAGACCTGTCCTCACTTACAGACAACCCCCCAACCTGAAGCAAATACTCACCAGCAACCACACACCACTGAACAAAAACACTGACCCAGGAACCTATCCTTGCAACAAAACCCAATGCCAACTCTGTCCACTTATCTATTCAAGTAACATAATCATAGGACCTAATCACATCAGCCATGCCATCAGGGGCTCTTTCACCTGCACATCTACCAATGTGATATATGCCATCATGTGCCAGCAATGCCTCTCTGCCATGTACATTGGCCAAACCGGACAGTCTCTATGCAAAAGAATAAATGGACACAAATCTGACATCAGGAATCATAACATTCAAAAACCAGTAGGAGAACACTTTAACTTGTCTGGTCACTCAATAACAGACCTGCGGGTGGCAATTTTGCAACAGAAAAGCTTCAAAAACAGACTCCAAC